ACTTCCGAGGGAACGACTTGAGACGATCACGAGGAATTATTACCCGCAAGATTGGCCAAGCTATGCTCGAGATCACTGATTTGAAAGATGCGACGGTTCATCGACGCCACACCGACCAAACTCACTTCAATGAAACTTCCACTTTGAAAGAAGCTCCTGTCGAATAGGAACACCTTTGATTATCGTTTGATAGTTCTTGGTGTACCAATAGCCAAACAGTTTTCATGACTTGAAACTGAAACACACCATCGAGGAGTGAGCGTGTACACGTTTAATTATTGTAATTTCGAGTGTGCATATTTTCATTTTTATGACACGTTGAGGGTAAGAGTGGGTTTTATGTGACGCTTGACAACGAGAATTGTTTGATCTCCACAACGAAATTGGGATTGACCAAATAGTGTTTGGCGTAGTGGGTAGCACGCTTGCGTTCTGCCCATGAAGTCCCGGGTTCTATCCCGAGTCGGGTCGAGGGATTCGCCGGCACTGCTGATGAGACCCAACCAGGTCGAAGCAGCTGTCCATTAGTGCTTCCGAGCTTTTCAGTTCACGTTTCACGACGAATTCCCATTTGAAATAGTGTTTATATATATATATATATATACTGATAAATGCATAATCAGCATTTACCGTTTGTACGATATGATAATGTCCGTAGTTGAACTTCTGTGATCAAAAATCTTTGTCCAGGGGTCGGGTCCACAATTTCACAATGACTATACAATCAAACAATCGAGGGAACCAGTTGATTGAATTGAATTCAGATCTCTCAGCGGGACAGTAGGTAGAGTGAGAGAAACAACGACTCACTGATTTTCCGTGAAGAAAATTCCATATAAAAATAGGTAAATACTCAACATTTAAACAAAGCAGTATCCTCAATGAAAACAGATCTCAGAAGAAAATCGTCGTCTATATGGCAAATAAAGCGCGAACTGAAAAGCTAGGAAGCACTACTGGACAACTGTTTCGACCTGGTTGGGTCGAAATCAGCCGGACGATTCCATCAGAATCCAACTGGGGATCGAACCGGGGACCTCATGGGGAAAATGCAAGCATGCTACCCACTAGGCCATCCGGAGGGCAGCTGATCAGACCGTGTATTATTTCCCATTTACATGATAGTGCACAACCCATCTTTACGAGCTTGTTGCGATCTCTGAGGATGTCACCTCGACTGGGGTCATAAAACATTTGCAAACAAATTGTCAAGCTCGGAGAACAAGTGAAATCTTGTACACCAGATGTGCCACATCAATAAAGCGTTTTTCGAGGGATAGTCATACTGTGTTGGACAGCTGGAGGAACATTTCACCAACTTCCTGAATGTCCACGATTGTTTGTCTCTGACGTCAGTGCGAACTGTAGCAACCCGAAATACGTCTGGGCAAAGCCGAACCATCCAGTGGAATTTGTCCAATATTGATCGACTGCATTCCATCACCGAGGGGAGAACCAAGTGCATGTGACTAGTTTCTCTATGCTCATTAGCCGAGCATGTAACATGTTGTTTTATTTGTGTCTCCCAGCTCAAACAAAACAATCTGCGATCAAATATGTCGAGCACAAACAACGCGCTGAATCCGTGGCGAACTGAAAATTATGTTTTATTGTTATTGTTGCTGTTTTTGTTGTTGTTGTTGTTGTTATACCTGATTTGATTCAGAAGAAGAACAGCATCCCACGTTTTCCCTCCGGAATTGCAAAAACACACATGTAACCGGGGTATACTTGTTGCACCGAATTCTGTGAGGAAAACTCATAAATCAAATCCGTGTGTGTGTGTGCGTGTGTGTGTGTCTCAGTCATATTCTCCATGTACTGGAAGTGTGAACATTTTCATTCCTAATCACGCCCGTGGTCACCACCTTACGCAATCTCATTGATCAATAACAAGTGCTGGCTACCTTTAGGTAGGAACAGAGCACAGGTGACCTAATAGACGTTAGAGCAGATGTACGCCAGTCCAATATTTGTAAAAAGAGGTATATAACCACGATAACCTATGCTGATCCAAGCACTATGTTTCTGGCATTGGCACGTGCTGTGACAAGATTGAAAATCTTTGAAGTAAAGGGTGATTGCTCGATCGTTTCACTTTAGTTTTTAACACTCTCCCGTGACCTCAAAAAATTAGGTTGCCCCTGATCCCGCTCCTTGTTCTGTTCCACGTGTTGCGTCACTTGAAAAGCCCAGCACCTAAGAACGGCAAAAAAGTTTTGTTTCTTTTTTTGTCACGTGTGTGGTTCAATGGCGTGACAATCAACACACCTGCTGTGCACCGTCGATTTCCACTGGGCATTCTAAAGACTAACAGTTGTGAACAAGCGGTGCATTCTCCATCCGGCTAGTTTAGCAATCATGAAATTCCTTGTTCTGGCTGCAAATTTAGACCGATCGTGTCATTAGTGGACCCGTATAAGAGAAAGGGCTATGAATTCTATGCTGCGGAAATGTGTTGACAGAGAATCATCACAGGAGATACACTTACGGAGGGATGTGCAATCTTGACAATTCGCAGTGGAAAATGTATATGCAATCACGACATTGTCCACACCCTTGACTAGTATAGGATTGGGACAGTCTTCTTCTGAGGGGTTCGGAAAACTAGTTTCTAAATACAGCATTGAACCGATTATTAAGTACAGAGTCCGGCGTACACCGATATATGGGCTAATGATAACGTTACACTGAAATTGACCTCTATAGATTACTTTGGTTGGGGCATGTGTTACACATGTCACCAGGTAGGTTGCCACGGCGAGCGTTGTTTGCCGAGGCAATTAGTGGGTGGAATAAAGCCAGGGGTGATCAAGCTAAGACCTTGCACCAGGGTATGGAAACCTTAACCAGGTGTCCGGATCACATAGGTCCCCTTAGGCTCCCACATTGGGGACCCTGGGATGATCGTACCCGATGGTTAGAGACCCTGAGTGATATAGGTGGGTGTCGCAACTGGTTTCGTTCATGCATCTTCTCAATTTGTTTGCATCATTAGTCCACTGAACTTCTCAATTTTATCTTCGATCCTACTTTCAACCTTCCTGCTTTCCTCGCATTGTTCACCCAAAATGGGCAGCCAAAAGAGAGCAACCACAAGCGACGCACAGAAATGCATGCTTAGTGGTTGTGTAAACGGAAACTGGAACTGATATGTTCCCAAAAGGGTGTATTTGTTTAGGAAGCTGTTGCACAGTTGGACTTTTGCAGGAGAGAGCACATATAAGGAATAATTGAATAGGCAATTATTTA